GGAAATGCACAGAGAGTCGTCGCACAGGCATCTTGGCCGGTCAGCCCGAAGCTGCACCAGATTACGCGTATAAGGTCGGATCAACCTGAGGCTTATGTCTCCTGATAGGGAAGCATCTTATGAGATTGTATATCGGGTCAGTTGCAGGAAAGTTCGCTGGCAAGGCATTAATAGGGCCTGCAGCAGACCGATATCTAAGGGAGGTTAAAGACGGAGGTTGGACAGGGAACGTAGTGATGGCAAGAAGGCTCAAATAAATCTCTCAAAAATGAAGGTAATTAATTAATAGACTCCCTAGCAGCCTCGAGCCCTTCCGGCCTCTCTGACTTCTAGGAAGAATCTCTGATGAAGGAAAAACGATGATTTCCCCTAGTGACGGTACTGACCTCCTCTTTTAACCCCATCTGGGTCACCCTAGAGACATCCCCGCTAGCGACCAGCTAGCCCAAGTGTCCCTAACTGCCTGTCACACTAGACAATAAGTATACTATTAAAAAGCCCAAAAAGGCAGCTTTTTAGTGGTATTATTATTGTTATTTAATGTCTAGAGGATTCTGAGTAATTCTGCTTTAAAATCAAGTTTCTGCTTTGAAATTAAAGGTGGTTTAATTTGAAATTATTAAAGATATAGAGATATATTGTATACCATAAAAAAGCATAAAAAGCAGCCTTTTTCTAGTATAATCCTTGTACCTAAAATACTTATACTTTCCAAAGTATCCAGATTGTAAGTTAAAATGATTTGGAATTAAAAATAATTCCAAATATAAGTAGGGCTATTATCTTTTCTATATAGTATAAATAGTATAATTAATACTGTATTTATACTGTATTTTAATGCTATTTATATAGTATAAATAGTACTATTAATACTGTATTTATACTGTTTTTAGTGCTATTTATATAGTATAAATAGTACTATTAATACTGTATTTATACTGTATTTTAGTGCTATTTATATAGTATAAATAGTACTATTAATACTGTATTTATACTGTATTTTAGTGCTATTTATATAGTATAAATAGTACTATTAATACTATATTATATTTATTTATAGAATTAATTAAGATTTAATTCTTAAGGTTAAAGATATATATTTATATATTTATTTAGTCTTTAACAATATTTATATTATAAATTCTAATTTTAATATAATTTTAAATTCTCTTAAAATCTAAAAAATAAATTAAAAAAATAAAAGCTAAATTTCTTCTTAAGTTTTTTTAAAAAGAAAATCTATTTAAGTTATTATTTATTTATTTATTTATTTAGTATACGCTATTTTACCTTTATCAAGGCCTATAGAACTCCTACTACTTTATCGGATAGGGAAAAACCGTATGCCTAAACATTGGATGAAAACCCTACCCCTTCCTTCTATTTCTACCACTCTATGTACCCATAAGGTCACTGTAGAGCATACAATGCAACTTCGAGTCTGTAACTGGTAACAACACCTCAAGCTATTCCTCGCCATTAACACCTCAACCTTCTAGTCTTCCAACCTTCCTATTTTCTCTGGGTAGAGGGGGGGTTACCTATTTATAAGCGCAGGAATGCGCTGTAGTTAGCCTCTTATAGTGGGTTGGCCAGTCCACTTCCTAAAGGCAAGCTAGGGACCAATTAGCTTGCTACCTTAGGCCCGGTTAGCGAGTCGGATCCTCGGGTTCAATCCCTGTACAGGCTGACTTTTCTGCTAGGGGACGAGGCTAGCAGTCACAGCACAATTACAAGGATTGTGCCCTGGGCTGGATTCGAACCAACAACCTCTTGAAAAAAGGTCCCAAGCTCTTAACCACTGAGCCCCAGGGTTACTAATAATATTATATAATATAATTTTATATAATAAGTTATTTTATTTTTAATATATATTACTTTATATATTTAGTAAATTATAAATAAATATTTAAATAAATAAATAAATAACTTTATTTTAATAATATTTAGTCTTTTTAATTTTACTTAATATTATTATATAAATTAAAGCTATATAATAATCTTAAATAATAGAAATAAATAATAAATAGTATACCTAATATTAAAAGAAATAGTAGCTATAAAATATAAAAAAGATATCTTCTATTATTAAGAAATTAACTTCTCTTTTAATACTTATTCTATTTTAATAAATTTTATTTAAATAACTTATTACTATATTAATTATTAATTATAAGGCTCTTATTATATATATTTCTATATATTAAGAATATAAATTTAAATTTTAATATAATATAAAATTCTATTAAAATCTTTAAGATAAAAAAAAAGATATAAGCTAGATAACTATTTAAAATTCCTTAAAAAAAGAAACCTTTTAAACTTCTTATTATACTACTTAAAATATTTAAATAGAAATTAAAAAATTGTATTACCTATTATTAAATATAGTCTATTTTTTAATAATAGAAATAAAGTTAATTTATAAGAAAGTTAAACTATTAATATTAATATTATATTTATTTAAATAAAAATAGCTATATTATATAACTTAGTTAATAATATTAAAAATACTAATAATAATAAAAGCTAAAAGTTTCTTATAGAAATTAGCTGTAAAAGATATAACTTTTAATTTTAAAAGTTATTATATTATATTAAGCTAATATAAATACTAGCTATTTAAAGTAGAAGAGGGGATTTAAATAACTTAAATAGAATATTATAGATATTAAAGATCTTAGGGTATTAAGTTAGATTATAGAAGTTTTTAATATATTTATTAAAATTAAAGTTAAAAAAAGTGAAATAAGATTTTAATAAAAAAAGAAAAAAGTAACTTAAAATTTAAAACTTAAGTTTTAATAACTATAATATATATATAATAAAAATATAATAAATTTAAATACTAGATTTTCTTATTAAGAGTTATTTTAATAATATTTATATATAATATTTATATTTTACTATATTAACTTAACTATTTTTTTTCTTTTTTAATATTTACTTTTTACTAGTTATTATAATAAAATTAAAACTTTAAATTTAATTCTTATTTTAATTAACTTTTCTATTTAATATTTCTTTTATTTATATTAACTTTTTTATAAGCTTTACTTTTAATATTCTTAACTTAATATATTTATAACTTTAATTATATTATAATACTTTAATTTAAATTTTTTTAATTTATAATTTAAAATAGAATATCTTTTAATTAATATCTTTCTATATATATTTTTTTATTTTTATTTTTACTATTTTTATTTTAATAAAACTCTTTATTAATATCTTTAATAAAACTTTATTTTATATTATTAATAGTATAGTTTTTATTTATATAGGTTTTTAATAAATCTTTTTAAAGAGTTTTTATATAAATTATAAATAAAATTACTTAATATTTTTTAATCTCTAGCTTTAAAACTTTAAATTATCTATAATATAATTATATAACTAGTATTTTTCTATAAGTTTTATAGCTATAATTTTATACTTATAATAGCTTTTAATATATTACTTAAAAATAATCTTACTTATTAATTACAATTTATAATATCTATAAGCTATATTTTATTATTTTTATAAATAAAAATAAGAAGCTAAGTTATTTAACTACTAAAAAAAACTTTTAAAATTAGAAAGTTAAAGGGAATTTATAAGGGAATTTATAAGGAAATGTATTTTTTAATACTTATACTTAGAAATATAATATTCTTTTCCTAAATAATACTTAATATAATTACTATTTATAATAAGAATATAGCTATAATATATATAAATAATTACAAATTCTAATAAATTAAAGTAAAAATATAATTTTCCTAGCTAGAAATATTATTTTAAAGTTAATTAAATTATTTAAAAAATAATTAAAAATATAATTTAATAATTAAATTAGCTTTTAAAAGAATAAGAAATAAGAAATAATAATATAAATAAAAAAATATAAATAAAAAATACAATTAATATATTATAACTTAAATTAAATTAAATAGTTATAATTAGTAAAATTATAATATACCTACCTTTTTACCTAATATAAATCCTAAACTTATTCTATATAAGTAAATTAAAATATCTAATTTACTTCTTTAAGATAAGCTATAAAATTAAACTTACTTTTACTTAATAAGCCTATATAAATATTACTAATATATAAACACTTATTTAGCACTTTTATAAATAAATAGCCTTACTAGCTATTAATATACTTAGTTACATTAAATCTACTATTCTACTATTACTAGACTGTAACCTATATTGCTTACTACAACGTCCTAATCCACTCGATCATACACCACACGCCCGGACCTACCCTATACCCTTAGGTTAGACCCGACCGTCACACAGTAGGTCGAAGTTAACACGGGTGGCACGGACTAATGCGACGCGAAACGGGCCCCGTTTTGCGTTCAATGTAAAAGTCAAAATTAAGAACGGGCCCCATTTTGGATTATTGAACCCCTGTAAGAATTAAAGATTGTTGATTGGACTAAAACTGAAAATGGGGCCCGTTTCTGTCTTTAATTCTTGAGTAGGCTCGGCCGAGGAGAAGTGCCGACATTGATATGATCATCAAGTAAGTTCGGGCCGGCCATGGAGAGATACGAACGATTTTATGTCCCCGTAAACAAATACGCAGTGTACATCGAGAATAATCGTGTGCCTGTCGGTTCTACGGCATATTTTAGAACAAACCAGACTTGGTTGTGATGGCATATAACAAAGAGGTCGGGCCGTTGTAGCTGGGTTCTCTATTGCTCACAATGACGCCAACAGGAGCTCAGCTTCCAACAGGCTCGTCGAACAAAGAGTTCGTATAAGAAGATAGAAAGTTGTATTTTCCAAGCGTTGCCAAAAAGGGCGTGGATACAATAAATAGGTTATAAAATGAGGGCGTTATGCAATGCATCTACCCTAGAAATCGACAGGCCTTGTGGACAGAGATATGGTAAGATCCGCAAACTGACAATAACAATCTTCATAAACCATCGTACCTGGCGAAGTTCCAAGGCTAGATTTATTATCAACATAACCTCCTGTCGAGAGCATCCACATCAAATTCCGTAGTGAACGTATGGAACCCAAAGCGGTCTGCTCCGCTCTGTGCTTTTGCATATCTCAACATCCCTCACTGACATATAGTCCCGGATAGTCTTTTGGCCATTAACTTCCTGATGCAGCCAGTCGTCTCGAAGAAGCCTGGTGGCATGGTGAAGCCCGCCGCTTACAGACTCGTTGCTTATTCCCCTGTCTCTTAGAAACTCGTACATTAGTCTCGCCATGCGTACGCATAGCTCGTCGTCGACCTCCCAAAGCGTGCCTACGACATGCCGGAACCCTGCCAACTGGAAGGCACTCGTTAGGTGAATACTCTCATCAATTGATCTCTCGTGCCGGATCTGGCTGGTTCCGCAGGCCGAGAGGTAGGCGAGAAATGGCGACTTGGAAGTTAGGTTGGTGTCCAATAGGCTTCCTACTGTCAGAGGATCCTGTTTCCAGTCCTTAAGAAGCAAGAGACTTGCTAGCGGGTTTTCCCCATTTGCGTCACCATGTCCAGCAAAGTGGAATATCCTGCAGCCTTCCAAAGCTAACGTGACCTCTTTCTTGTAAGGCCTGGGCTGAACGTACGGTAATCCTATCGACTCGCAAACAGCTTGTACCGCACTCGCCTCGTTGCTCGCATATCGAAGTAGCTTTTGCCCTGGCGTGTCTTGCATAGCGATTAGGACGACATTTGTGGAAGAAATTGCCGTTGTTTCTTTATCCCGCTGTTGACGACTGTGTATGATCGTCTTGATAGACGGGCTATAGGAGGAGACGACTCTGTCGAGGGCTGTGTCAGAGCTGGATTCCAAATGGTGTCCCGCTGCGTGCAGAGGAAACCTGATAAGTGGCCCTGTTGGAATCCACCATACGTGTGGCCAAGAATCGCCAGGTGGAGGCTTATTAAATCCTAAGGCATCAAGCACTGGGCTGACAATAGCATCCCAGAGCCAGGCAAGCGTCTCGAGAGATTGAACATCTCGGGCTCGGGCGAGGATATCCTGCCGAGAGAGTCGAGGCAGCTCCAGTACTCGGGTCCCAGATTGCTCGACGAGCAAAGCATCGCAACGGTGCGAGCTCACGTTGAGGATAACGATCGGACCTTGCACTGCCGCTTCTCGCATCTCACCTTCGGATGCAGAGAGCAGGAACCGCTCAAACCCAGGCTGACTGCGGATTTCGTTAAGGAGGAGCGGCATTTGTATGCCAGCTTCGTGGCGCTGATCAGTTCGTGCACCAGGGGCGATAGGAGTGCTCGCATCCGTGACATAAGCACCCTGCGAATTAGGCGGATCAAGCTGGCCTCGAAGTTCGACAAATAAGCGCGCCAACACCGGGTATTTTTTTTGTAAGGAGGCAAGGTCAGTACGCATATCTTGAAGAAAGCTCGCAAGAACACCACGGCCCGTCTCAAGAAGCTCGATGGCAGGTACACACCCTTGACCAGCATGTAACGCGATAGCTGCCGCATCCGAGGCGAGTCCGATGGCTTGCGAGAGTAGATACTGCTTATCGGTGTTTGGTAGCGAAGGTGAAGTGAGTAAGGGGACCAACTCGACGGTAGTTTTGGCAGCAAGGTATGCTTGATGACCTTCTTCGCGAATGTTAAGGGATGACAGGAGTCGACGGCCAGCGGTAATGCGAACATTGATGGGAGACTTCTTGAGACTCAACGCGATGTTGAAGGATTGCCTAGCCTCTTCGAGGTCGTCCATCGATCCAGTGCGTGAGTATCTATGGTCGAGTTGAACCCCAAGGTTGTTCAACCATGCAGCCCGATGTGGATGGTCTTCTGGGGTGATCTTAGCGGCCTCTCGGGCAACGCGAATAGACTCTTCGAGGTCGTCTAACGATCTAATGCGTAAGTATCTATCGCTAAGATGAACCCCCAGGTTACCTAATAGTCTAGCTCGATCTGGATGGTCTTCTGGGGTAGTATTGACGGCCTCTTGGACTATATAAATAGCCTCTTCTAGATCGTCCATAGATCTAGTGCGTGAATATCTGTCGTTGAGGTGAGCCCCCAGGTTACCCAATAGTCTAGCTCGATCTGGGTGGTCTTCTGGGAAGGTATTGGCGGCCTCTCGGGCAACGCGAATCGCCTCTTCGAGGTCATCCATCAACCCAGTGCGTGAGTATCTGTGGTCGAGTTGATTTGCAAGGTTACTCAACCATCTAGCCCGACCTAGGTGGTCTTCTAGGGCGGCCTTGACAGCCTCTTGGCTCATACAAATAGCCTCTTCGAGGTCCGCCATCGCTCCAGTGTGTGAGTATCTGTTGTCGAGTTGAACGCCAAGGCTACTTAACGATCCTGCCCGATGTGGATGGTCTTCTTGGGCGACCTTGACGGCCTCTCGTGCAATGCGAATAGCTTCTTCGAGGTCGTCCAGCGATCCAGTGCGTGAATATCTCTCGCCGAGGTGACCCCCGAGGTTACCCAATAGTCTAGCTCGATCTGGGTGGTCTTCTGGAATAGTCTTGACAGCCTCTCGTGCAACGTGAATAGCCTCTTCGAGGTCGTCCATCGATCCAGTGCGTGAATGTCTTGTGCCGAGTTGAACCCCAAGGTTACTAAATAGTATAGCTCGATCTGGGTAGTCTTCTGTAGTAACTCTGATAGCCTCTCGGACTACACGAATAGCCTCTTCCAGGTTGTCTTTGCATCCAGTACGTGAGTATCTGTCGCCGAGTCGATTTCCAAGGCTGTTTAATCGTCCAGCCCGATCTAGATCGTCTTTTGGGGTGATTTTGAGGGCCTCTTGAATCACGTAAATAGCCTCTTCGAGGTCATCCATGGATCCAGTGCGTGAATATCTATCGCCAAGGTGACCCCCAAAGTTACTTAATAATACAGCTCGATCTATATCGTCTTCTGGGGTGATTTTAACAGCCTCTCGGATCACGCAAATAGCCTCTCCGAGGTCCGCCATCGCTGTAGTGCGTGAGTACTTATCGCTAAGTGAAATCCCGAGGTTGCTCAATAATATAGCTCGATCTGTGTCATCTTTTTGAGTGACCTTGATGGATTCTCGGACCACACGAATAGCCTCTTCGAGATCGTCCATCGACCCAGTGCGTGAGTATCTGTCGCCAAGTTGATTCCCCAGATAGTTCAACCGTGCAGCCCGATCTGGGTGGTCTTCTGGTGTGGCCTTGACGGCCTCTTGGGCCATACGGATAGCCTCTTCAAGGTCCGCCATTAATCCAATTGCGTGATTATCTGTCGCCGAGTCGAAATCCAACGGTATCCTGGCTGAGATAGTGTTGTGAATGTCTAGAAGTGATGGATGTAGTTGGAGGTTAGATATAGCGCGGCCACCGTAATCGAGTCAGCTAATCCGTAGTCCACGGCGACTGATACATGGGCACCCGGATGCCCATTTATCTTTAGGCACTTAGGTGTCTAAATTATATCAGCAGTATCTTTACTCTATCTAGCACTATAACTTACTGAGAATATATTTTTGCAATTTGCTGAGCTTCTATAAAAGAATAGAATTAATAAATTAATTACAATTTCATAGTAATCGCGGACGCGCTATTGTGACCTATGCCCCCCGTGCGCCTGGCCTCATTCCTCCCTCCATACCACAGAGAGTGATTCACAATAATGATGCACAGCACTAAGAATCAGGCTGCGATAACGACGGAATGGTTTCCCTCTCGGGATCCAATGTCTCGTCAGAATGCACGTCTTGAGCAACACAAAGAGGGACATTTGATCACTGCCCCCCTCAAACTTAGCACGGCCGATCACGCGCCCCCGCAAACCCCAGTAAGCCACCTCAGCTCGGCCAAGGCAACGTGCAGTTCGGACGGCAAAGTGCATGATTGTTTTGGCGTTGCTGCAGGTTTGAGCATCAGGCAGCAATAGGCCAAACGCATTTCCGCAACGTTAGCTGAGAAAATACCGCAGCTTGCCGGTTTTATCCGCCTTGGCTGTTGCCGGGAGACAAGCAACTTATGGGTCTGCAATGCAGCAGCAACTTTTCTGCTCTAATGGCGAATAGAAAACGCAGATCATCTAGTCAGCTCTTAGCAATCTGCGCGGAGCGGACCGGTCTGCCCAACTACGACTTGATGCTGACATGGTGTGCGGTAAGCGCGTCGCCTCACAAAGGAAAGATACTACAGCCAATGATTGCCCATTCGGTCCCCTCCTTTCGAGTTGCTCGCCTGCATTTGTCAATCACAAGTTTCACCGAACGCACAATGGCCCTGTGCACCCGCTACGTGGTCAGCTGCCCACCATTAAGCCCCTGTGTAGCGTGTGGTGAAATCCGCCTTGCTCACCCATCGACAGGACTGTTGTGGCTGCAGCCGGTCAAACAAGGCGCTTCTAGGGCCTCCGACAGGGGGGCCTAATGGCGGGCATAATGGCGGGCAGCTGACCACGTAGCGGCGGAGACAGGGCCATCGGGCGTTCAGTGACACTTGTGACAGACTGACAAATGCAGGCGAGCAACCTGATAGCCGTCTGTTCAGCTCGGCGAGTCACTTAGCGGTGTGAGAGGAGAATTGCGGCGGTGCAGTGAGGGGATAGGATGGGGAATCATTAGCTGTACTATCTTGCCTCAGTCGTCAGGTGACACGGAAGGTTGCAGCAGTGGGTAACTGAAAGTGTATCGCTTGCCCCGCAGACCCAATATCAAACCGTAGTAGGGCAGACCGGCCCGCCCCGCGCAGATCACTGAGAGCCGACTAGATGATCTATCTGCGTTATCTATTCGCCCTTAACGGAAAAAACATACTGCTGTATTGCAGGTGTTGATAGTAACCGAGCTTTCTGTCTTGCCTCACACAATATGAAACCGGTTGCTTGTCTACCGGCAGCAGCCAAAGCGGATAAAACCGGCAAGATGCGGTATTTTTCTCAACCAATATTGCTAGAATATATTAACTAATTACTGCCTGATGCTCAAATCTGCAGCAACACCAAAATAGTCATACATTTGCCGTCCAAACTGCACTTTGCCTTAGTAGAGCCGAGGTAGCTTACTGGAAGGTTGCAGGGGCAGGTAGTCAACTATAGTACGATTGAAGGAGGCCCGAGCGGTGATCAGTGATCACACGTCGTTCAAGACGTGCATTCTGACGGGACATCGGGCTCGGGAAGGTAGGCCATTCCGTCGTTATTGCAGCCTGACATTTCTTGGAGTTGTGGATCATTATTGTGGATCACTCTCTGTGGTGCAGAGAGAGGGGCACTAACCACAACAGCGCGTCCGCGATTACGGTAAAAACGGCGAGTAATTTGTACAGTAACTTATTGGACAAGACGATTAAGTTAACGTAATTTGTCAATCAAATGGTCCTGTTGCCTTTATTCTTTTTCCGGGGGGAACCCCACTTTACTGAGTTAACGTTGTAGCAGTCCAGCAGGGCCTTACCCCACCATCCGTGCGGGGATGACAGGGGTTTAGCAACATAAACTGATTCTGATTGGCTTGCGGAGAATTGGCAGGGATACCGTCCGTCCCACAGCCTGGGGGGAGATTTAAACTTACCCTATACATTTATGTTGTTGACTTGAATGAAGAATAAAATGCTTGCTGAAGATATTAAAACATTATATTTACTTTCATCAAAATAATTCCCTTTTTCTCTACCGATCCATTTACTTTTTATTTCATGCATCATTGTGGCTGATTTTTGGTTGATTTCTTTGTGTTACTTTAGCGTATTGCAACACACGTCCCAACCCGCAACTCGAAGCCCAACATTACTAACATTGCTAACATTGCTCTCTGCGGGTTGCCCCACAATGCCAACGGGTACTTTCTTTTTACAAATGGTATAACGTAGATAATAAGCATGTGTCGCAAGTCAGGCATGATCTCAACGAGCCTCAGGAAACAGGTCTGGTCTAGGGGTTCAGACCAGACCAGACCAGACCAGACCATTCCGATCACTGGCTAAGGGTAGGAGTGACAGGGGAAGTCCCTCTATAGCGCCCGGGGGAAACGGCCCCAGGAGAGGTCTATGCAGTCCCAGGGGTGCGGGCGCCAGGCCACGGAATAAAGCAGGCGTGGCAGGAGGTTGTAAGCCGTTTACAGACGTAGGCGTTAGCGCAGTCCGCCTTGGAGGCGTCAGGTTAGCTAGCGAATCGGTCCTCTTCGTGGCTCTGCGTGGCAATAGCCTTAAGGCGATATTCTACATGGCGGCAACGGCGGCTCGAGATTCGGTTATCCGTTCCTTTTAGCGTGCCCTACAGCTAGTATACTGTTCTGTAAACTTCGTAGGGTTCTTGACGCTTTGAAATTCGATATCGGGCAGGTCTCGCTTGCAGGTATGGCAGTTATAGACTGCCTGGGGTATATTGTCCTCTATCTAACTGTATATATATCCACCTCTTACCTATCTAGACTGCTAGAAATTGCTTGGATAGGGAGGCTTTGTAAGGGTCTATGTAGCTGTAGTAATACCTATCTGTAGGTAGTGCTAGCAGCTTATAAAACTGCTTTAAACCTATATAAGGAAGTTATTTAATAGCCTAGAGGTTAAATTCTATAATAAATCTTAATAGGGAGGTTATTTATAAGGTAGTTAAAATAGGTTTAAATAAATAAAAAAAGAGGAAATTATACTACTTATTTAAAGGTAGAATAACTAGAAAATTTAAAGAGATAAATTAGCTATAAAGGTAATATATAAATTTAAATATTATTAGTAATTTAATAAATTTAATAAATTTAATAAAAAAGAAAAGTAGTTACTATATAAATAATATAAAAAGTATAAAGCTTATTTAGCTAGAAATATACTTAGAAATTAATAAATTAATTATATTAAAAAAAAACAGCTCTTAAAAAGCTAGCTAATTAATTATATACTTAATATTATAGCTTAAGTTAAAATTAAATAGTTATAATTAATAAAATTATAATATACTTACTTTTTTACTTAATATAAATTTCAAACTTACTTTATATAAATAAGCTAAAATATTTAACTTACTTCTTTAAAATAAGCTATTAAATTAAACTTACTCTTACTTAATAAGCTTATATAAATATTATTAATATATAAATACTTATTTAGTACTTTTATAAATAAATAGCTTTACTAACTATTAATATATTTAATTATATTAAATTTACTATTTTACTATTATTAAATTATAACTTATATTACTTATTATAATATTCTAATTTACTTAATTATATATTATTTAATTTTTTTTTAGCTTTACTTAATATTATTAAATAAATTAAAGCTATATAGTAATTTTAAATAGTAAAAATAAATAATAAATAATATACTTAATATTAAAAGAAATAATAACTAAATAATAAAATTATTACCTATTAATTTCTACTTAAAACTTCTATTTAACTTTTTTGACTTTAATTTTACTATTTATAATTAATAACCTTAAAATAATAATCTTATTTTAAGTTATAAAATATAAAAAAAACTAATATCTTCTATTATTAAGAAATTAACTTCTCTTTTAATACTTATTCTATTATAATTAATTTTTAATATAGTAAATTTTATTTAAATAGCTCTTTTTAAAGATAACTTATTATATCTATACTATAAATTCCAACTTTAATATAATATTAAATTCTCTTAGAATTTAAAAGATAAATTAAAAAAATAGAAATTAAATTTCCTCTTAAACTTTTAAAAAAAAAATCTATTTAAGCTATTACTATACTATTTACAATACCTAAATAGAAGCTAATAAATTATATTAGTTATTTTTAGATATTATTTATTTTTTAATAATAAAATTAAAATTAATAAATAATAAAATTAAATTTTATTTATAGTCTTATTTTATATATCTAAATAGAAATAAATATACTTTATAACTTAGCTAAAAATATTAATAATTCCAATTTAAGAGGTTAAATCTTCCTTTAAAATATTACTGGGGCCTAATATAACCTCTAATTCTAGAAGTTATTATATTGTATTAGATTAGTATAGATACTAGCTATATAGGGTACTAGCTAGAGGGGGGATTTAAATAATTTAGGTTATTATAGGTATTAGAGATCTTAAGATATTAAGTTGAATTATAGGAGTTTTTAGTATAATTATTAAGGTTAGAGTTAAAAAAGTTAAATAGAATTCCAGTAGAAAAGAAAAAAGCAGCTTAAAACTTAAAATTTAGGCCTTAGTAACTGTAATATATATATAATGAAAATATAGTAAATTTAAATACTAGGTTTTCTTATTAAGAGTTAATTATATATTATATACCTTAAATTTATTTTATACTCTTAAGTTAAATTTAATTATTATACTTAATATTTAAGAGTTTATAATAAGATTTTTATTTAATAGTATTATTAGTATAAGTATTAGCTAACTAATTCTAATATAAGTTAAGTATAAATTAAGTTAATTAGCTAATTAAAAGAGGTTTTATACTATTCTTTTTAATTAAATAAAATACTCTTTAAGTTAAATAAAGTAAGAAAAATAGAAAAGTAAAAATAAAGAGAAAAAGGCTGGGCTAGGTATTTATAATAAGAATTATAGTTATAATAGCAGGTTGCTAGGTAGACTTGCTTTTTTTTTTTTTTTTTTTTAATAGATTATAGGGTGCACGGATAAAAAAGTAGTTTTATGTTGCAAAATAAAAGTGCATAGATATAAGGTAAAAGAAAAAGTATAATAGACAACAAAAAAGCGAAAGAAAATAAGGTGGTATTTGTGCAGTAGTAAGATTGTCGAGTCCTCAAGGGTTGGCCACTTCAATAATTGGTCTCACATATTAACTATAGTATGCCTCTCCTCAACGTCCTAAATGCTTTATTTTTCTAAATATCATTTATTGTTCTTCCTCAGCTACCTAAATAAAATCTTCATCTTGAATTAATCCCAGTATCAAGTCTTCCAAGCTTGAAAACCGCCTTGGATACACTGCACCACCGCGAAAATAACTGTGATGAGCAGTACCAAAATGGCAACCCAAAAAGTAAACCATTGCACACCATTTCGCCTATCGTGCCAGAACTGGGATAGAGTCTTGGGCGTTGCTTCATCATAGGCTTGCTTCAGCACAACGAGGCGGTCTCGCCAGTACGTAAAGTTCTGAATCTGGCGGTCTTCTGCGTACAAGCTGCCACAGCGACCGAGCCGCTTATCGATCTTGCGAGTGCTTCGCTTTTCGCAGAGCTGGTGGAACCAAGATTGCCTTGACACACTCACGCCACCTGAGCCGTTGACCAGAGGCTGAGGAAAGAGTAAGGCGAGAGTTCGCAGCGTCTCTTCGGCAAATGTCGGCGGGAAGAGTGAGGCTGAACTGCGACTGGGCTTAACATACACCATGAAATCAGCTCATCTGAGGCAAATACTTACTCTTTGAGTCTTTGGCAGTCAAGAAATGACGCATAGGGAAAAATGAGCACCTTTGAAGTGTCGTCTTCAATGAGGAGTAAGTGATCGGCCAAGTTGTCGGTGAAGCTGATCTCGATGCCGCCGATGGCTTCCAAGCTCCACGCATTAAATGATTTCGGCAGCTTGACGCCGTCGGGGCTCATAGAAGCCTCCTCGACAAATCGCCCATGTACAAAGTCTCGCAGCGAAGCCTCATTCCACTCCAGGCACGGGCGGCGAAGAAACTGGTACTTGACATCCCCGATCCTCAGCATGAGCAGGAGCCTGACGGCTAGGTTGAGAGAGTTTTCGCAGGCCTCCTCCAGAGCTTCCGTCCCACTCAGGTCTCGAATTTGTGCCAAGAGCTCGGCGCGGGGCTTGTCATTTTGCAGGTCCCGAACGAGGTGGTTGACAGACTCTGGCGTCTTTAAAGCAACAAACTTCCCATCGCAATGGGCTGCTGCGAGTCCCCATTGGCGCTCGTAATACTCGAGATAGGCAGAATGACACAGTTTGTCGGCCGGGTCGCCGTTGAAAAGTCTCTCATCTGGTGGGAGAAGGCCCCAGAGAATTTGGACCAGCTGATTGGAGCCCGAGGTCGCCGACAATTCCAACTCGACGGGTGCTGCTTCGAGAGGCATGGTGTTGAGCAACATGAGACTTGTCGCCTGGACAACTCGATTATCGGGCCGGAATCTTGATTATATCATTCTTCCTCTTGCACTCCTAGAATGATGCATACTCCGACACATTGGGTCGCTCCGGTAGTTATCTTATCCGAGTTGAGGCTGTTGGGCGACTCAACGTGGCCAACACCCGTTAGGCAATCCCTTCGTCATAAGGCAGACTTTTTCAATACTAACCGTCATGATCACACCACTCCTCCGGCTTACCAGTGTATGTGTTCCAATGGTCTCTGAGATTCTGGATCCACGGGCGCTGGATGGTGCTACGCCGCCTGCGCTGGCCAAAGGACAGCCAGTCATCCTATCCGCCTCGACGCCCTCCACACACCGCCCCCCACATCTGCGGGGTGATCTTTTCAAGATGTAGTGGGCCTTGAAGCCAAAACTTTTGTCATTTCGTTCTCGAGCACCACCCGCCCTCAGCACGGCAATCCATCCTTTCATTCATGATTTACCATTCCCGAAACAATGTTGCGTATTCGTCCAAAATGGCCCAACGCAAAGGAGTGCTGTGGGGGCGAGGTCCAGACGACGAGGCTTTGGCGGAAAAGAGCCTGGTGGCCACGAGGCTCAGTGCTCGAACGCTTCGAGCAAGACATGGTGCCAGAAATCAAGTCATTCCTGAGAAACACCGACCTCGGAGATGCCGAGATACACCTTCTTTTATATATGATTGGAAGGAATGAGGAGGCCTCTCGACCGACCATCATGGTCTGTTGCGCCGACGTGCCGATGGGTCGGAGAACCAAAGAGTCATTGCGCGAAAGTCCAATCATGAGGGACAACCCCGAGTATGTTCTCGGCTCTATCGACCATCCCCTTGAGCAACTGATACCAGCCCAGGGATTGGCATCTGAGATGAGGTCTGAGAGCCGGGAAAGTGGTCTTGGGGCCAGCTCCGACTCAGCTACCAGAGTCCGAATGTTCGCCTCATCACACCATGCGACTATTGGAAGACGCCTCTTCGTGGCCCACCATGGCGCCGACGACCTCACTCGGTATTCCACTGGTGGTGTAGTGATAATGGCCCGTGGTCGGTTCTATCAACTCACGGTTGGTCACATCAGTGACTTCCAAGACAGCCCACGAGTGATTTCATCCATAGACCCTGAGGCTTGTTCCTTTGATGGTCAAAGCAGCACCGAGGGCGAAGACGATTACTCCGCCTCCCAACGGAATATGCACAGAGCAAGCATGTCTTGGATCGCATCCCGCAATCGATCATTGGGCAGTGAATCGCCAAGCAGTGCATCAGACAGCACGGAATGGGCCCAATGGGGGCAGCCGACATCCGACGACATCACCACCCACAGCGATGGAGGACATCATATTTCGGATGGCAGCCCTGAGTCGCCCCCGTTGAAAGAGGTGGGGGAAATCGTTCTGCATTCCAAAGAGGGACAGAAGCCGAATCTCGATTATGCCCTTGTATCCATACAAGCTCCCAGGGAAGCAGACACGGTCAATGAAATCTCCATCGGCTCGGGAACGGCCTCCAGAAATCTTCGGACCCATGATATCACTGGCGTCGGATGCGAAGAACGGCAAGTGATTGTGGTCACCGGGTCAGGTGGTGCCATCAAAGGCACATTGATACCGGGAACAACACTCCTTGGCAAGGCAAACCAGGATCAGCCTCAGAATCTCTATGTCATCCAACTAGAAGGAGTCATCGCAGGAGGAGACTCGGGAGCCGCCGTAGTAGACGAGACGTCTGGCGATCTCTACGGCCATATCGTCAGCGGATGCCCAGGAACCCGAATTGTATACATGGTGGCTGCAGCAGAAGTCTTTGTGGATTTGACCAGTCGTTTGAACCAGTCATTTTCAATCGCGTCTTCTAGGAAATTGCAGAAGTCTTGGATGGAGCATCCCGATAGGAAGCGGCGGACCAGCAAGCTCCCTAAACACCAAGACCCGGATGCTCGCACCAGCGGCGAACCGCTTCAACGCAGTAATGCAAATTCGACACCCCAGCTGAGTCAAGTGCACTATGGCTGTGGGCGTGGCTTCCGCCGAGAGGACGGAGGTATATCAATCCTTAGGGCTTGGAATCCGAACTTTTCTAATCCTGCGTTGCTGAAACACGCCTTATGGCTCGATGACCGGAGTGAGACGTGCTTCGGCGAATACGACGAGGAGGCTGCCATTTCTCATTTTATGCAGAATCGCCAAGACTTGGGCATGAGAAGTTTCGAGTCGGAGGACACGGCAGCCATCATGAAAGATGTCTCACTCCGGAGTCTGCGTATCTGTCATCAAGAGTCCTACCAACGCCCAGTGGCTCTTGTTTTGGACGGATCTGGTGATGGAGGATCCCTCAATGCCAGGACTAACAGCAGTCCTCTCACAGCCCACCAGCTGTTTCACGAGATTGTCAAGATGGTGAGTGAGATGCCCAATACTTTAGGTGATTAAAATGCCCTTCGACTCACGGTACTTTCAGCGGTCGCGCCTGGACTCGACCGGAGAGCTACTCCCTCAAGAAAGGTCGAATATCCGGAGGCGATTGATGTAAGCGTCCCTCTTGTATTCGGCCAAAGGTCCGGCCAGTCAGTTAATCGTTCGGTAGATATGTGACGGACCTAGACTCCTGGAGTGTCGCGGCTCTCATTGCAACGGCTCGCAACGGTAACGCTCAAGAATTGGAATTGGCGTGTCACATCGAGAAGCATTTGGGATGGAGGTCGTCCCTACACGCATCAGTTTCCGTAAGTGGTCCAGGATGAAACATTATACGCCTCGTGCCACTCGAGTTGCTAAACATCCTGAAAGAATCTCGGATTTCAATTGGAGTTTCACCTGCCATTCTTCGCCTGGCGGACCAGCAGGGCTCAGATCGGTGACCCTCGACGAGGTGCGGGAGACAGGCCCTTGAGGAAAGTCAGGGATCTCTCTTTTCTCCGCGCAGAGTCTACGGATGGACCATCAATCCACGATACGGATTATCTATGCGAAGCTCAAATTTCTTGCGTCTTGATAGGGCATCACGACCGGGTGTGGACTGCGTACTGCTTTGTCGACACCTACTTCGACCTCGAAGACTCTAAGGATTCAGTGAATGATTACGAAGATGAGGAAGATTTTGGTGAATTATACCCAGATCCACTCTCTCGAGGCACTCTCGATGCAAACACGCCAATTTTAGACCCAAGGATTTATTTCCTTCGTGTCTTGGAGACACGAATGCTTCAGGTCGAACAGGAGTGGCGAGATCTTACATACTTGGTAAAGAGCAAAGTCAATCTCAGCGTACGCTTCTCACCTTATCCATTGAGTTATTGGCCGCTAATATCAGATAGATCGCCGAGGGCAAAGGGCCCTTTGTACTCGAAGCGGCAGATGGCTCAGAGGCACTTGCTGCTCATCGATCGCTGGAACGGATTTGTCAAACCATTGTGCTCCTCAGAACGTTGGAACAATCTCTTTCCGACATAGTATTCCAGTGGCAGAAATTCAAGGACAATGATGTCACTTTGTTTCTGGATGTAGGGGGAGAGGGGGAGAGAGCCCTCGCGTCGTTGGAGTACAGTTTTGGTGAGCTTAGGGTCCTCGAGAGAATCCTCCACCAACTCATACAACGCTGTGAGGATTTCATGACAGTTGTAAGTCCTGGTTATAAGTGGCTTGATGTAGGAGCCTCGCACTGACTTGCTCCAGCTCAACTTACGTCTAACGTTTGACCGAACCGAACTTAGGGATCATGGAAAGGTTGTGAATGCGGCTCAAAATACCAGCACCATTGTTACTGTAAGCCCCCAATATCACGTACATTTATGACTTGACCTAACTCGCTTAAAGGTTTTCTTCCCTCCACTTCTTGCGGCCGTCGTGCTCAGTATGCCGACTTCATACTTTTCTTCTACAATCCCGACCTTCGCCCCATTTCTGGTCTTGACTACCCTCATTTTCACCGCAATGCTCATCGTTACAATCTTCCGCTCAAGCAAGTGTTATCGGCAGATTCTAGTTTCTTTTTCCGACTTTGTCAAACCTCACCTCGAAAGCGTGCCGAGAGAGACTGGTTTTCAATCGTATACGCGAGGTGAACCGGAGCCTCCCGAGGCCAGAGGCGGGATCGCTTTGAACAGGTGGCTGGGTCGGCAGGGAAACGCGGACGTCCATGGTGGGCACATTGAATTGGGGCGGTTGTAACGGGCTAGGCCCTGCTGGACAAGGCAGTGCCTTGTCCCCTTGCTGGTCAGAGCACTGTTGCTCTGGTGACGACTTCGTCTAATTTGTCGAAGGATTTTCTGTCCTTTTCTCTCTCTTTCTTTCTTCTTTCCTCAACTCGAATGTAAAACACATGAGGACTATATAGCTGTAATTTACACTATTAGAACCCTTCACAGCTGCTAGGTCTGCGTCTTCGTTGCCTAGGATTCCCATATGCGCCGGGACCCACCTGATTTCAGTGACAAGACCCTGTGACTAAAGCTGCTCGATCTGTTGTGTGATGTTTTTGAACAGGTACGCCCCAGACTTGCCCTTCGGCTTGGCAGTGGATCGAATGGCGGCTTGGTTGTCTGTGTAGATCAACAATTTGCTTCTGTCGTTTCCGTTGTCTCTGTCTTCCTGCGCAATCTGGAGGGTTAAGCTGATGCCTTGAAGTTCACCAGCGTAGACGGTGGATGTCCTCTCATCTCCCTTGTATGTGCTCCGAGTTTCCTGTGCGGTGGTACAGACTGCTGCAGCTCCGATGTGACATTGATGCCGTTCCCATCCGTATAGATACTATGCTGCAGCGGTACACCTCATAAATCTCCTCACATTTCGAAAGGTAAAGCCAGTACATCAAATTGAATTCAGAATCGTGACCCCATGTTATCAGGAGGTAGCCAGCACTTCTGGATTCTCCGATGCCAAGATCATTCGTTTCCCTTACATTCCAAGCGGGTACTTCTATGCGCTCCCAGAAAATTTGCCATCTTCCTGTTTGATATTTAATATTATAGAACAATGAAGGAGACTGATTACTCACCCATTTGGGGAACGGAGTGAAGGCGTATTCCTCTCCACTTACAATCAACCGACCTTCAAAACGGAGAATTTTCACACCATTCGTTGTATGCGTGAGTATAACTCCTGCGCCAGGAAACCACGTGAGTTTGTCTAGCAGATCTCTGACATCTTGAATATCGACGAGCAATTGTCTCAGAAGTACAAGTACTTCAAGCCATGAGGTGAGATACTCTTTATCACGGTCATACGAGCATCTATAGCCGTTTCTAATGAGCGTTGGACGAACTCCAACCTGCACCATCTCGTTGATATGGTCCGCGAATTTCTTGATGTCTGGGCTATGACAGAGTGCGTCGGTATATGAGAGAGTGAATTCTGCGACTTCGTATAGAATCCACAGCCGTGCTTCGAAGGGTGGGTAACACCATGCAAAACCGCAATTGCGAATGAGTCCTGACAATGTCTGCAGCGTGCGTTGGAAGAAGATCTCCTCGTTCTGAGTACGGGGATGCTGAGGAACGTATGTCCAGTCAATCCAAATGTATGACCAATGTTGCGACCGGAGCTCTTGTTGATGGAGGCGTAGATATTTGCCACTGGGATCCGGGTTGTTTTTCGACTGCCAGAAGTGACTGACAAAGAAGCACTCGGCCCGTGTGACATAGCCGTTAGTCGCAGGAAG